TTGGTGAGGCGGCAGACTCACAAAAGGAGTTTTCGGCAAGTCAAATGAAACCGCAACTCAGAGGGGAGGATGTACTTGCAGTGGTCTCAAAGATACCGAACCTCAGTAGATTGCAAGTTTTGAAGGCCGTACACATATTATTGAATACTAATCCAAAAGAGTTCTTTCTACTCAAGTATCTTCCTGATGATGAGAAGACAGAGTGGATACTGAGCGAATTATTAGTCAATCATGAATCAAACTTTCTTGATAAATATACTGAGCGAATTATTTCTCAAGGGTTTAAACTTTTGAATAGGGAGTCACTTATCAGCATTTACTCTCTCTCTCTCTCTCTCTCACACTCTCACTCATTGATTCAATATTAGGAGTGATCTTGCTTCTTATTCTTTTCATATACAACATTATTTATTTTCTTTTTTGTCCTTTTATACACACTGAGCTTCTTGACTTGTTATGGGCTTCTAATCATGCTTCAAAGACATACCTTAAATCCATTTATATTTCTTTATTTATTTATTTCTCTTGTTTGACAGTGCTGTAGATAAAATTTATAGCATCAAATAATTCATTGCATTCAAAAGCAATCCATATATCTAACATTCTTCCAACAAATTCAGAAGATGTCTCAAAAACAAAATGCTAGATATTTAAGTTCAACCTAAATGTCAATTGATTCCCAAAAACAAATAACATAAGATTCATCACTAGTAGATTGTCTTCGGTCCTCATATACTAGAAATTTATCCATCAGATTTGCATCAAACAAAGAATAATTATTTACAAAAAGATACTTTCAAATGAAAAACAAGATTTTTAGATTACCAACAAAGAAAACAAAAAAATGATGGAAAAAACAAAACAGCAAAAAGAAAGACAAACTAAGAATAATGGATCATCATCTTAACAAATAGAAAGACAAACTAAACATGGTTTTAGGAGCCATAAGGTATGCTAATAGTATCAAGATGAAGTAAACAGAAGCATATATGGTCGACATTAGAAGCTTCCTTTCTCAAAGTGCATCACCTTAATGTGTGTGGTGGAACAAAAAAGAAAAGTGCAAGACTTACCCCACCACCAGAATATTCTGTAGCTATAAAAGCATCAGCATCTAGTTTGACTCCACCAATCCCTGCATTGTTCACCTGTGCAGAACCCAACTGTATCACTATATGTTTTATTTAGAAAAAGTAAATAAATCTAGAAAATATAAAGAAAAAAGAAATTTGAAAGATATGAAGTTCTTTCTTCTTATAACTAACCTGAAAGTCCAAGGCCTTCAAATAGCCTTGCTTTGGAGGCCAATTGCTTGACAGTTTCTAATCCAATCCCTTTGTTTGTACCTGTAACAACTGCAAATCTGAAAGAGCAAAAAAAGAAAGCAACAAAAAATTCAGGAAAGAAAGTGAAACAAAAAAGAGAAATTGTCATATTTGGCAAAAAAAGCATAAACAAGTGACATACCTCTTTGTTGCTTCTGCCATTGATGATTTGATGTAGGACCAAGTCAAATTATCACTTCATCTGTTCAAATGGGAAGAGAGAGAGAGAAAGAGCTAATAGGGCCTTCGGGTGGGTGCTAGAGAGCTCATCATAATTAATCATACCTTAAAATTTTTAGTGCCATCCACATATGAGATGTTTATTAGATATTCAAGACCCATCAGCAATGCGGCTATATTCTGTTGTGTGGTTTCGAGCACACGAATATGTGACCGCAAAAAGAAAAGGAGACAATTAATAACATCGTTATTGAAGGCTTGAAGATTAATCATAATCGCAAACTCTTTTATGGATGAGTAAACAATAATTATAGACAACACAATCGATCAAGCTTAAAGATCCTCTGTTTATTTATCTTACTCTTAGTCTTAGACTTCCAAGTTATCAGTAACTCAGAAAATTGAATAAGAAGATGCAATTTTACAGAAAGGGAGATTTCAAAAAGCATCTTGTAATGGACTTAACTAATAATGCTATAAGGAATAAGATTTAGACTGAGAACAGAGCCAAAGGAGAGGATGGTAAACAAATAAGCATCGAATCATATTAAAAGGTAAAATAAAGGCTTGCTAAGTGTAGCAGAAGTTTAACTCTATACTCTATTTTCACTCCAGTATGTTTCATCATAACCACGAAACATAAAAAATGGAGACTTTGTGAACCTAAAAGAAACTAGATAAACTAGACAAAATGTAGACTCTGTACTCTATTTTGTATCCTTTAAATAGAATACTTGTTGGTTTGGGGGTCTTCCCCCTATTTCATCAAAACTAGTTGAGAATTTCCATTGCAGTTATAAGGTTTTTTTTGGTAACATAGGGGGCACAGCCTAAACCAAAAAGACTAGTCGCAGTTATAAGTTTTCAAATCTACATACTCTGTACACGGACTATGCTCTGAAAGCAAACATGAATAATGCAATAATATTTTCCTCAAGTAAACCGAAGCCTCTGCAAGCTTGAAGCCTTAATTTATCAAATCAAAGCCTCCATGAACTAAATTGAAGACTCCAAGATAAATAAACACAAAATATACCCAAAACAAAATCATAGTTAGGAAAATTAATATCACAGTGGAACTCAAAATCACAGTGAATAGAGAATTGGGGAATTAGAGAATAGAGAATCACAATCACAATCACAATCGCACTCAAATCAAACTCAAATGAAATCAAAACTGACATTGAAACCACAGAGAAATAGAAAGCTCACATATATTGGGAGAAAACCTAGAAATTGAAACCACAGAGACGAAGAAGATGACGAAGAGGACGCTCGCTCGACGAAGAAGACGGTCGCTCAGCTTGAGCTCGCTAGCAAGCTCAGTTTGCTCGCTCCCTCCGTTCCTTCAATTTGCTCGCTTCGTTCCTACTTTTGAGTAAATATAGCGTGAAAAGGAAGCGCATACAAATGAATCAAAGTTCCTTTTCTTCGTTTCCAAGCTAAGGATGGATATGCATTTCTCTTGCTCACCCCGTCCTCATCAGTCACGGGTTGAGCAATGGAAATAATTGTCATATACAGTGAGCTGAAAAAAGTATCATCGTGGCAAAAGTTGGAGTCGTATCTCTTCAAGTCCCAAGTGCTCTAAGAAATAAACGACATCTTAGATAACATTTGGTATATGTGCTAATTTCATTTGGTATTGACTGAGAAAGAGTCTGGAGTACGTTCTATAACTTGTTTTTTTTCTTTTTAAATTAAACTGAATGTTGCAGCACACAAACCCACAAAACACACAAAGGGAGGCAAATAACTTAGAAATCTAAGAAACTAAGCAAAAGAAGTAAGTAATTAGGGCATGTATATGTATGAAATTATGAGCTTAACAAAGGCCCCCTCCCCCTCCCCTACATTATTTAGAGAAAAAAAAAAAGGAATAAGTATAGAATGAGGGGAACAAGAACCAAAGCTATTATTTCTTTCTTGGGTACACAAGCGATAGTCTCTGAACTAATTTAAACTAATGTAATCTACACGGAAAGGGATTTGAACTTGGGTGGAAGGGGTAAGCTCACCATCCTAACCAATTAGCCTAACCCACATTTGCAGATGTATACAAATACAATGATATAGTCCAAACTACTCTAAATCTAAACTACTATATTACCTTCCTTTCATAGCCAATATGACTTTTTCCCTTCAAACTAATTATGTCTTACCTACAATCCATCATTTTATTTTTCTGTAAATAAAACTCAATTTTTATAATTAAAACCTGATGGTTGGATTCGACTCATCAATTTACCTAATTAAACTTAAAATCTAATTTATTGTAATTTTTTTAGATCCCAAAAATACCCCTAATTTGTGTTATCAGTATGCACATAACACATTAATGATGTTTCAATTTTGCATAGATTTAGGAAATTTTAAGTAACTTTTTCCTCTCTTTTTAAAATCAAATACTCTTTGTTTTAGGTTCCCGCAGTTACCGACATTTTCTTAGGTACATTAAAACAAACTAAGGTAATTAATTCTTAGTTAAAAAAAAAAAAAAAGAACTATGAATAATTAATTCACCTATACAATCTCGGTAAATTCTTATACCTACAAAATATAGCTAAAATTGGTACCCATTTTTATTTTTATAAATAACGTGCCTATTTTTTCATAAATAATGTACCTATTTATTTTATAGAACTAATTTCAATCGTAACGTTTCTATTTTTTTTTATATAGAAACAATGTACCTATTTTCTCATAATTAATGTAACCTTTTTCTTTATAAATATTTACGTACTTTTAATATAGATAATTTACCTTGTATTAGATATGTAGAATATAGGTAAATTATTTTTTAATAGACATGGTCACAATAATTTTTAGGTTAATAAAAATAGCGTACCTAGTCTAGAGTTTTGGAATTGCAAGGCCTACATTTTATAACAAATATGTCGATGTAGCATACAAAAACAATGGCTACCAAAATCACGAGAATAACCACGAGCAGCACCATCTAAGTTATTTTTAAAGTTAAAATACTTGAAATCTTATACTTTATAATAAAATATTTAACGGGGCAATGATGGAATTGGAAAGAGGGTGAGGCAAGGATACCAATCCCATCCACATTTCCAAGAGTGGATGACCACAATTTCCTCGGACCACAGGAGTTTTGAAGAACAGGACTGAGTAATTCATATACTAATCATTTAATGAGCAACAAAACAAATCAAATCAAAGAACCCAAATGCAAAATGGAGGAAGCTGCTCCGAAACTCTATGATCAGATATTCAACACTAAATATACCTAAGTGTTTCGTGATCATCCCATGTAATATTAACCTAAATTATAGGGGCATTTCAAAATAGACTTGGTCAATAACCAAAGTGTTTTGAAAAATTCTCATATTATAGTTGTTGAATAAAAACTCAATTTTCATTTATTAGTATCAATAAATATATAGCTATTATATTAATATTGGGTTGGGTAGAGATATTTCCATATGTTTCACTTAAGTCAAGTCCACATTTGCAAGAAGATATTTGTAGCTTGTGCCTAGGAGGATGGGATGCAAAGCCAACGTTTGATTGGACACGGGAAGGCACCTTACCAAGTCAAGCTTCTGCATCTTTCCAATGATATAGGGCTCATCATTTGGTTCATCTTGAGCAAGTACAGTCCAATCCGTGAAGTTGACAGATTTGCAGACACAAATGAGCTAACTTGTCTCCAAAATGCATTTAATGAGTCTCAAAGCTTATTACACTGAAACAAACACAAAATTTATTAAAAGCACAAGTTTAACTCAAAAACATAATCAAATCATAAGTTAGAAGGGTACAAAATGATATATAAATATGCACCGATCAAAGTCTAAGTCACAAGTCTTCGATCTCATCCATTAATTTCCCCAATATTCATTGATTTATCACTTGTTTACTTGGACCACTGAAATTTTTCTTCAATTATCTTTTTCCACATAGTGATATCAATAAGAGTCAGTTGTACGTTGTACAGTTTTTTTTTTCCCCCTTATTTTTAGAAAATTTGGTGTAATCCACTTTTGTGTGTGTAATCATAAGACCCCATGTAATATTAACCTAAATTATAAGGGCATTTCAAAATAGACTTGGTCAATAACCAAAGTGTTTTGAAAAGCTCTCTTATTATAGTTGTTGAATAAAAACCCAATTTTCATTTATTAGTATCAATAAATATATAGGCATTATATTAATATTGGGTTGGGTAGAGATATTTCCACATGTTTCACTTAAGTCAAGTCCACATTTGCAAGAAGATGTTTGTAACTTGCGCCCAAGGGGATGGGATGCAAAGTCAATGGTTGATACCAAGTCAAGTTGAATCAATACCTGTCAGTTGGAGCACGCGTTGGAAGGCAAGTCAACATATCAAGTCTAAATCACAAGTCTTTGATCTCATCCATTAATTTCCCCAATGTTCATTGATTTATTAATTACTTGTTTACTTGGACCACTGACAAATTTTTCTTCAATTATCTTTTTCCACACAGTTACATGAATAAGAGTCAGTTGTACGTTGTATAGTTTTTTTCTTCTTCTTTTTAGAAAATTTGGTATAGTCCACTTCTGATGACATAAGTGAAATTGGACCTATATCTAAGAGGTCCTTTTTCCTTTTTGTAAATTATAACTAGAGAGTTCTCCTCATTACAGGTTACAAGACGCCACCCTGGATTCTTATTTTTTGTTGGACCCACCCTCAGCTCTTAAGGAAAAAAAAAAAACCTAAACTTAGTATAACATTAAGAAACAAAAAATTAAAATTAAAATAACAAGGTGATAAGAAGCAAAACCCTTCAAAGAACGAACAATGGGAAAACAAAACAAAAAACATGCATACAATTGACTAAAATCAATTTGGTTGTTGTTGAGAATTGAAGTAGTGGAATATTAATTTAAGTGTTGTGATCATCATTCATTTCATCCATGCCATCCTAATTAATTTGGTTTAAGTAATTGTTATTCTTGCATCTTACTTTTTAGCTCGTGCATCATAATTAATTTGGTTTCTGTAAGTTATGAT